TGGTTGTGGGGGTTAGGGGTGATGGTTGAAATACTGGTTATTGAGCTTCTGTAGCTGCATGCTGGCCTGCAGGGAGCCTCCCTGTCTGGCCACCGGGGAGGCCATGAACTGGGACTTGTTAAACCTGGCCAGTGCGCTGGGGAGGGGGGGATGCCCTCCGCTCACAGTCCCTGGCCCCATGGCGTGCCTGATGCCGCTCGTGGCATTCATGGTGCCCGCACCCTAGTGTATGTGCTCAAAAACTGTAGGTACAGCTTTGAGCGGCGGTTGGTATGACTACCATTGGAGCCAATAGTGTGCCCCCAGTTAGTAGTGCAGCACCTAAACCAACCTCCTGGGCTGCGATTGCCAGAAAGCCTGCCAAACGTCAACCGAAACTTAAACCCAAGGGCAATGTGGGAATTGGGGGTTCTGCTGTTCCACCGCCTCCTATAAAACACAACATGAATATTGGAACTTGGGATGAAAAAGGGTCAGTGGTAAAGGCTCCGCCAACTGAACCAGTTCTGCCTCCTCAAACTATAATCCAGCAGCCTCAGCCATTAATTCAACCACCACCATTGGTGCAAAGCCAACTGCCTCAACAGCAGCCTCAACGGCCACAACCACAGCAGCAAGAAGGACCTCAGCCACAGGCCCAGCCTCACCAAGTGCAGCCTCAACAGCAGCAGCTGCAGAACCGCTAGGGAGCTCCTCGGAACAGAGGAGCGGGCTTCAACCAGAACAATGGAGCCGGCAGTGAAAACTTTGGTTTAGGTGTGGTACCTGTCAGTGCTTCACCTTCTAGTGTAGAAGTGCATCCTGTGCTGGAAAAGCTAAAGGCTATAAACAACTATAATCCCAAAGACTTTCATTGGAATCTGAAGAATGGACGTGTGTTTATAATTAAAAGCTACTCTGAGGATGACATACATGGTTCCATTAAATACTCTATCTGGTATAGTACTGAGCATGGTAATAAGCGTTTGGATGCAGCTTACCGTTCCCTGAATGGGAAAGGCCTACTCTATTTACTCTTCAGCGTGAATGGCAGTGGACATTTTTGTGGAGTGGCTGAAATGAAGTCTGTTGTGGACTATAATGCATATGCTGGTGTCTGGTCTCCGGATAAGTGGAAGGGCAAATTTGAAGTTAAACGGATCTTTGTCAAAGATGTTCCCAATAACCAATTACAGCATATTCGCTTAGAAAATAATGACAACAAACCGGTTACCAATTCAAGGGACACTCAAGAGGTACCTCTAGAAAAAGCTAAGCGAGTACTTAAAATAATTGCTACATTCAAGCATACCATCTCAATCTTTGATGACTTTGCACATTAGGAAAAGTGTCAAGAAGAGGAGGAAGCCACGTGTAGGGAGAGAAATAGAAACAAACAATAATCATATGGAGATGTCTTGTTAAAATTACAACACTAATGATGTAGACTCTGGAAATGCCTACTAAGTCAAAGAAGACGTTATTAAAGCTTTTTTTCTGCTTGAGGTGACATCTTTGACGTTAACACAAAACTGACTCTTGTAATGGTTTTCATCATCACATCTGCCTTTATACTCTCACCAAACACACTTGAGAACTGTAACTTCGTCAAGCACTTTCTGTCCTGAAGCTTTTACCAGTATCTGCTGTCTTTTGTAATTATGCATCCTAGCCAAGGCACAGAAGACTGAATGAATGCAAGGATTCATTAACTCTTTGAATTTGTTAAATACTAACAGTTTTAAGTGGTTCAATGATGTAAGAGTCACACTGCTTCAACTTTTTCTTTGTTGTAGTTTTTAAATTGTCTATTTTTAGCTATTTGACAGATTAAAAGCAAAATAATCATGCCATATTTAGTCCTGGAGTTCAAGTCTAAATGTTTATGTGAAAAATTATTGCAGTAAACTTTTAATATGGCAAAGCAACCTTAAGCTCTATTTTAGCCAAATGAAACATAATCTGAAATTATATTAGAACATTTCCCTTGTCTTCAAACTGTTTGGTGTAACAGAATATTGATATGCAGCTTGGTGGATTTCACCAGTTAATGCACATTCTTCTTCCCTCCTTTCCCCATTGACAGGTATACTGAAAAAAGTGCATTTGTCCGAGGAATTATTTTGTTTGCTACCACTTAATGAATCTCAAAATTTTGAGTAAATGTACCTCAGTCTAATCAGACTTTTTATGACCTTTATAGCTACATTTAAAACCCTTAATTCCTATTTCTGGGTGTTTGCGAGCCTGATTGCTATCGTGAAGTAAAAATTCACTAGCTAAATAAACATAGTTCTTGTTTAGCAAGCATATATTGTTCCTCAGCTGTTTTCTCCAGCTTTTGCAGTGTCCTGGCATCCTTAAAATACTTTGAAAATATGGCCTTGACCCATGGATTAAATGAGTATCTAATGGAATGTGCTGGTGTTTTATTGATCAGGTCTATGTAAGTGGGAATACAGCATATAGCTGGATATTCTTATACTTATCTTTTTAACATCTTATTTTTTCATTAATTACATATCAACATTAAGTTTATATCCTGAAGCAAATTGATTTTGTATAATTAAATGTGTCAAGCATCTGTTAAAAAAAAAAAAAAAAACACCAACAATCAAGTCCCCCCATTTTCATTAAAGGAAAAAGTTGAAGTTAATGCTATGAAAACTGAGTGAGGCTCTGTTATTAATGTAATATTTATATTATTAAATGGCAAAACCTTAAGCAATACTGCATTACCATTCCGTTTTTATAAGCATTTCACTTCTGTTTTTTTAAAAAAATGTTAATAGTAGCTTTAGTCACAATTTTCAAAAGGTGAAAACAACCCAGCAGATGACTGGATTTAAAAATTGTGGTATATACATACAATAAAATATAGTTTAGCCATAAAGAATGAAGTTCTGATACCCCTTAAAACACTAATGCACCTTGAAAACATTTAAAAAAAAATTCTTTTATTGTGACTTAATTCATTTTAATATATTTACTGATATTCACATAATTAATTTGTTTTTCTTTGCACAACCAGGATTTTTTCCTAATGTTTCTGCCATAATCAAGGAACATGGAAAAGAGAGAAGTGGGTTCACGACAATATCTAAACCTCCCGACCCACACAACGGTCTCCTTCACAAGCAGACACTCTACTCCACAACGCTCTTGTTGCCTATGCCAAGTGTGGAGGTGCTTCCAGAATTTTCTCCTCTCATGTGCCATGAGATGAGGCAAGGTTGAAGGCTGGTGTTGCTCTCCAATGTGCAGAGCTAAAAAAGCCCTGCTTGGGCATGGGTTAGGGAACTCTGGTGCCACTCTCTGTTTCATGCAGAGATGACGCGAGCGACTTCCCACCTGACAATGCATGAAGAGCAACTGTGGGTAACTATGAACATGGATATCAGCTTTTATATGAGTTAAGTGCTACATTATTGTAGGAGGAGGAAATAATTTCAGTAGATAAGATAATATCTCTTATTTCAAAGTCAATTGATTAAAAATGTAGCTTATTCATCTAGAGAAGGAAAGGACTCCTGGCAACAAGCAGCACAGTTTTACATCAAATACAGAAAAATGATCAAAATCTTAGGAAAAAAGGTATCAATTTTAACCACCAAAATTTAACTTTTTTGATACATATTTAGGGCTATAATAAAAAAATAAACCAATGCTAATAAAATGACAGTTGCAGGGAATGCTGTTAAGTTTCATTTGTGGTTTGAACACTGAAAGGTCCCACCTTGTTATGGTCATAATTTTTGCCTCACTCTTGTTCTTACGCTGAGGACACTCACCTTTTAGGGAGAGAACAACTGAAAGGTATTCCTCGCAGGAGCTCACGTAGAGCAGTAAGCTGGGGGACAGTGGTTCAGAAGCTCAGTGTGGCCGTCTCTCCAGTCAGCATGAGCTCCTCAGGAAATAAAGCTTCAGAGAAGCTGGAGTTCTTACTGAAGATGTAACTGTACTGTTCTTGAAAACTGTAGATCATCGAGGTGCCCATTCCAAAGTACGCCAAAATCTCTGGAATGACACACAGTTTGGTTATGTTAGGAATAAGTGGGCCGGGTGCAGTGGCTCATGCCTGTAATCCCAGAACTTGGGGAGGCTGAGGCGGGCAGATCAAGAGATTGAGACCATCCTGGCCAATATGGTCAAACCCTGTCTCTACTCAAAAATACAAAAATTAGCTGGGCATGGTGGCACGCACCTATAGTCCCAGCTACTCAGGAGGCTGAGGCAGGAGAATTGCTTGAACCTGGGAGGCAGAGGTTGCAGTGAACCAAGATCACACCACTGCACTCCAGCCTGGTGCCTGGCGACAAAAAGAGACTGTCTCAAAAAAAAAAAAAAGGAAGATGTATGTGCCAGACTCTTGCTTTATGTATATTTTTAAAGTAGCTCTAATCCTTAAATATCTCAAGAGAAAATAATTGTGGCATTTTTGATGTTTTTTAAAACTTTTTTTAAAGAGTTTTCTTTTATCTTTTTCTTCAATTTTATTTTGCTTTTATTTATTTTTAATTTTTTTGAGATAGAGTCTCCCTCTGTCACCAGGCTGGAGTGCAGTGGTACAATCTTGGCTCACAGCAACCTCCGACTCCCTGGTTCAAACAATTCTCGTGTCTCAACCTCCCACTCCCTGGTTCAAACAATTCTCGTGTCTCAACCTCCCAAGTAGCTGGGATTACAGGCATGAGCCACCATACCTGGCTAATTTTGTATTTTTAGTAGAGGTGGGGTTTCACCATGTTGGCTAGAATGGTCTCGATCTCCTGACCCTGTGATCCACCTGCCTTGGCCTCCCAAAGTGCTGGGATTATAGGCATAAGCCACTGCAACTGACCAATTTTAAAGATTTTTAAAGAGGAATATAAAATATAGATAACTAAACTCCCTCATATTCCCAGGACCCAGAATTGATTAACAATTAACACACTATTATTGCCCCCAAAATGCTTCATCTTTGATTTGCATAAAAGTGAATCTCCAGAAGTGTGTAATTTCTATGTTACTGCTTTCCTCAGGGTGCTGCACTGATGATCTTCTGAGAAATCCAGAAAGGACTGCCACCAGATCCATCAGAAGCAACCATGGACAAGTCAAGAATGGAATCCTAACTCCTCCTAAAGTAAATGGGCTTGGGACAGAAACAGTTCCATTTTAAATAATCAGACAGAATTGCTTTATAGTTTCCTTAGTGTGCCAAATGCCAGAAGGAGCTCTGTAGTCTGTGATCTCCTACAGGTTCTTGTGACCTGCTCCATGGGCATACCCACCATCCTGTGTGCAGACAGCCCATCATATGTGGCTGCTGCTGCTGTGTCCTGCACGACCTGGCACACTCCTGGCATGACTGTGGCTTCTTCTTCCAGTTTCTGGGGAGTGATGACAGAGAAGTCCTGGATAGAGCATGTTCATGAGAGATGAGATCAAAGCTAGAACACGTGTTTCATTCTGCCTGTTTTGGGGGAGCTGAGGTCATGGAGGTTTCCTTGTGAACATGCAGAGTTCACAAGGCGCTAATGAGCCGACAGGCCCAATGGCTCTGTCCTTGTGTTTTCTCACTCACTGACCAATTTTATTGATCTTAGCTTTCAATAAAGTAGGTATGGATGAAACGCTTGCTAACAAGTGATATAATATTTCAGATGATTCCATTAGTCTTCACAGCTGTGGTCTTAAACACTATATAAAAGAGACATCACCCAGAGGTAATATAATTTTTATCACTTTTTCCCCAGTTATAAGCCACATTTCTTTTTCAAGTTTATTCCTAATGAAATATAGATTACCAGGGCACACACTGCTGTTAGTAACCCATGCAGCTAAATTTCCCATAACACATGGACATATATCATTAGGAGGCCGAGACAGTTCCTCTTGCCGCCATTTACTGTCCCTTTGGCAGAGCAGAGGTCCCAGCATGTAAGGCGCTTCAGAACATGGCCAGTCTGTCTGTCCCCACCACCCGAGTGACGAGCAGGACCTCCTTATGGGAAACAACTTCTGTGTTACTGGTCTTAGGAAGCAAATACAAGTATCTTAATGTTATTCTGAACAACATACAGTAAATCATAGCCTTTCATTCCTGTTCAAGAGGTATTAAATTACATTTGAAAATACATAAGGTAAACCAACCATACAATTCTAAGCCCACCGGCCATCTGAACAGACCCCTCCTCTGGGCAAGGGCATTCCAAGGCTAACCTGAGGGACTGGTTCAGGCCATGATGGGGGGTGGGGGTGCCTCATTAAACCCTCCTCCCTTTCAGAATTACCACAGAACAAACTAAGTCTGCTGAGAAACATTTTCAACTTCTTCTCTCTGAAGCCTGGAGGCTTCATCTGCATGATAAACTTTGGTCTCCACAATGCCTTATCATCATAACCCATTCATTCCTTTCTACTGATTCCAAGTCTTCCAGTTAATAACTTAACTCTTTCAAACAGTTGGCAACCAGAAAATTGTTACATCTACCCATACATACCTGGAAGCCTCCCCTTCCTGGCTTGGTGCTGCCTTTCCAAACTGAACCAATGTACATCTTACATGTATTTGACTGATGTCTCATGTCTCCCTAAAACGTACAAACTAGGCTGTATCCCGACAACCTTGGGCACAGGTTTTCAGGATCTCCTGAGGGTTGTCACAGACCATTGGTCACTCATAGTTGGCTCAGAATAAATCTTCAGATATTTTACAGAATTTTCTGACTCTTCGTCATCCATAATAGCAGGGAAATCAAACTGCTCATGTGAACACTTACAAACACAGTAATGTATTTAGTGAGGTCACCTGAGAGCCAGTGTTACTCTTTATGAACCTGACCACAGAAAAGGAAGTGGTCGTGGGTGCAGGTGTGAGATTACATTCTCCATGCCATTAAGCACGTCACTGCTCTTTCCAATGTAGCCACTGCATTAAACTTAAATGCAGTTACCATGCAAGGAATAGCCATCAACCTCCACCAAAAACACATCTGACTGAGAAGATTTAGAATTTCAATGATCAGAACTTTATTGATAAAGTGTTAAGAGATTTCTACTGTGATTACTAGGCATTTCCTTACTCATTGATGTTATAAATTTAGAAACAAAAAAATACTGATTCAAGAGCAAGATGAAGGTATGATATAATCCCCTTCCTGGCTTGAAGTTATTATGTAGGATAATGCATGGGAAAGTGCATGGCCAATGACTGTCACCACTCATGCATCGACACCTACTGCACATCTTGTATTTGCCGGGCCCTGCGTGTTGGATATATGGACATTAAGTACAATTCATGCCCCAGGAAATATGCTGGATATTGCAAATAATAATAATAACAATATCATCACATAAATTAATATTGGAGGGAACACTAATATCTGTGGTTCCAACACAAAAAGGACTAGCATAGGAGCCAGAGACCTGGTAGGTGAGCTGGCTGGACCAACAACCTCCACTCTGGACAGAGTAAAGTGATTTCTCTACAGCTCTCAAGCTGTTCAGAATTTTTGTTGTAATACTTCAATTACACATGTATTTCTGATTTATGGCAAATAATCGCTCATCTGGTTTATCTTTCTGATGCCCTTCATCTGTGTAGAACTTGGTAAGTTTTAATTCCTAACAATCACAAAGCCACACTCACTCCAGGATATACAGGTTGGAGCATCTGAAACTACCACTTTGGCAGGTCAAAAAGTCTGCAAGTTAACATGACCCAAACGCATAGCTTTGCACCAAAAAATACTGACTTAGTAGCCATTCCAATTCTATTTAGGTGTCAAAACACTCATTTAAGGTAGAACATTTAGCATTTTTAAGTTTTTATGCTGTCTAAAATTTTTAATAAAGTGACCAGTAGTATATTTGGCAAGACAGGAAGAAATGTAAAATGAATATCCTAAAAATTAAGAAATTGTTTCATTGAAACAGATTGCTACCAAAATCAGACAAAATAAAATGGCATAGCTGTATTTGGGTTAAGCCCCTGTGATTTCCCCTGAGGAAAGCCCATAGATTATTGCCAACATAGTAATATTTAGCTGTCTTGTGAAACCAGTGCTCAACAAAGTAGAAGGAACCACCAGATTATAGGGGGAGTGAACCTGGACATGTGTTTTTTATAAATGTGCGGATAATACACTGAATTAATTTCTGGTGTTAAAGATCAACCTATCTGTAACATTCCCTATAAATGTTTTAATTCCTGTGATTGCTGTTTTGAAAAAACAGCCTAGAGTAAATATGTGAGTATATTAGTTATTCCTTGTGGATAGTTGAATCTTAAGGAAACAATTAAAAACGACATTTTTAAAATGTAAACATGAATTGTTTTTAGCATTGACAATGCATACACAGTCTTGAAAATACATAAATAAAATCGTGATGCGTGTTGGATGTATTAGGGCAGATATTGTAATAGAGTGTTTTCCATTTTATTTTTTGCAATGTATCTTGCTGAATGTATAGGAATTTCTAACTATTCTTATTTAAAAATTTATTATTAGTATAGGTCATTCCCAACTTTGCCACACTTTATGCAGGATATTACTGATTGTATGGTCACCTGCCTTCTTCAAAACTGCCTACTTGATAGTTGTATCTCAGTTTTTTCTTGCTTCTCTGTTTTTCAAAATTTGTAAACATAGTAGGTATAGGCATGGTGATTTTTCCCAGCAGTTTTAAACATTAAGAGTGTTTTTCAAATCCTTTTATAGTTCCTAATGCTCTAGAAATTATTCTTACCATTGTGTTCCAGTGGATTTTTCTGAGGTAAAAAAAGAGCTTTGACTACTTTGGATTGTTGGGAAAACTAGAGGGAAAGTTACTGGGTCAAGCTTCATGTTTAATAATTGGGTAAAAGGTACTGGAAACAACATCATCTTCAGCATCCAGAATTACATACTTGGCAGCTCCGAGGCTCTGAGTGTCTTTGTTCCACGTGCTTGGCCCTCGGACAAACCCAAACAGCAGCAATGAGGGTGCCGCATGAGATGTCTCTGTGTCTGTAGGGCTGGTCCCTTCACCCTGTTTCCATCTTCAGCACTCTCTCAGCTACATATGCCCCATTGTCTCTCCATACATACACATTTTATAACCAGTTTGTCAAAAATAAATACATAAACAAAGAAATGTTCAGCATAATCTTGAAATTAGATTAAATCGAAGAGCATTTTTTGGAGGGATACTTAGTTTGCCTACATGTGGCAGTGGTGACCTATCTCCATGCATTTAGGTCTGAAATTCTAATAAAGTTTTATGATGTGTTTTCCACAGAAGTCTTGCATGTTTTTGTTATCTTGATCCCAAGGCACTATACCCTTTGCAAATGATTTTTATAGCATTTTCTTATGGTAACATGTTCTTCACAGGAATCCAGTTATTCTAAGATTCAGCAGCCTTACTAAATTCCCATTAATTTCAATCATTTCTGTATATTCTCCTGGGCTTTCTTTGTAGACAACCGTATTGTTTTCTGTTTATGAATAGTGCAATTTATATTTGCTTATTTTCAATCTTTTGTGTTTTTGAATTGCCTCACATCTATTTTTATCTCTTTATTATTCCTTTCTACTCTAATTGCACTATAATTACAGAAACTGTTTCTATGATATCAACTCGTATAAAACTCTCTCTCTTTTGCTATATGGAACATTGGGTAACCAGTTTCTAAAAACATGCCATGCGTGCCTGAGAAAATTATGTATTCTTTAGTTTTGTTCTAAGAAATCAAGCTGTTCATTTTGTTTTTAAAATACTCTATTTCCTTGCTAATTTTTGTCCAACTGACTTACTAAATACTAACAGATGTATATTTCAGCCTCTTCCTATCATGGTTCATTTATAAATTTCTTCTTACAATTTAGTCAACTTTTGTCTTTATACATCTTGACTTACTTTTATCAGAAGCATATGAGTTCAGATCTGTTCTTTCTATTAAAATTAGAAAGTATTAGCTGGGTGTGGTGGATCACATCTGTAATCCTAGTCCTTTGGGAGGTGGAGATAGGCATATCTTAAGCCCAGGAGTTCAAGACTGGCTTGGGCAACTCAGTGAGACCCTGTCTAGAAAATACAAAAATTAGCTAGGTGTGGTGGTGCAGGAGTAGCTTTAGTCCCAGCTATTCAGAAGACTGAAGTGGGAGGATAGCTTGAACCCAGGAAATGAAGGCTGCAGTGAGCTGTGATCACACCACTGCACTCCAGCCTGGTGACAAAGTGAGACCTTGTCTAAAAAAAAAAAAAAATTAATAAAAAATAAATAAAATGTGGAGTCTGACACTAACTCTGGGTAATTAGTGTTTTATTCAATTATAGGACACACAATTGGTGTTAGAGAACTGGATAATTGGTGTTAAAAAAGATATACCACATATTTGATGTCAGTAGAAAAAAACCCCACACATTTGGTGTTAGAAGTTTTATGGACAAAAGTAGTTCAATTTTTTTTTAACAAAAATTAATTCAAATGTGAATAAAGTCCTCTATCAAAAGACACAGAGGGGCCGAATGGATTAAAAACAAGATCTAACTAAATGTCTCTAAGAAACTCACTTTAGATACAAGGACACTCATAGACTGAAAGTGAAAGAATGGTTAGAAGATAATCCATGCAAATTGCAACCAATATAGAGCAGGTGTGGCTAAACTTATCTCAGACAAAGTAGACTTTCAGCCAGAAACTGTCACAAGAGACAAAGACATCATAAAATGATAAAAGGGTCAATTCACCAGAAAGAACAACTATAAACATACATACAACCAACATCAGAGCACTTAAATACTGAATGTAAAGCAAACACTGGACTGGGCTCCGTGGTTCACACCTGTAATCTTACCATTTTGGGAGGCTGAGGTGGGTGGATCCCCTGAGGTCAAGAGTTTGGGACCAGCCTGGCCAAAATGGTGAAACCCCCTTTCTACGAAAAATACAAAAATTAACTGGGCGTGGTAGCACATACCTGTAATCCCAGCTACTTAGGAGGCTGAGACATGAGAACTGCTTGAACCCGGGGGCAGGGGGGCGGCGGGAGGGGGTGCAGGCGGAGGCTGCAGTGATCCGAGATTGCGCCACTTCACTCCAGCTTGGGCAAAAGAGTGAAACTCCTTCTCAAAAAAATAAATAAATAAATAAATAAAATAAGACAAACATTGGGAGAACTAAACCAAGAAAAGAGAAATAGCAATTCAATAATAGTAGCCTTCAATACCCAGCTTTCAATAATGGATAGAACATCCACACAGAAAATCAATAAGGACACAGCAGAGTTGAACAACACTATTGACCAAATGGACCAAACAGACATAGAGAACATTCCACCCAATTGCAGAAGAATGCATTCTTCACAAGCACATAGAACATTCTTAAGAACAGATCACATATTGGGTCCAAAAACAAGTTTCAACAAACACAAGAACACTGAGTTTATATTTAGTATCTTTTCACAATGAAATGAAGCTGGAAATTAACAGCTAAAGGAAAACTGGAAATTTCACAAATTTCTGAAAATTAAAGAACATATTTTTGAACAACCGATGTATCAAAGAAGAAATCAAAAGGGAAATCAGAAAACATCTTTTGACAAATGAAAATGAAAACAGCATACCGAAATTTACGGGATGCAGCAAAAGTGGTGCTAGGAAGGAAATTTATAGTAATAGATAATGACTTTGAAAAAGATCTGAAATCAATTATGTAACTTTACACCTCAAAACACTAGAAAAAGAACAAACTAAGCCTAAAGTTAAGCAAAGCAAAAAGGGGAAATCATCAAATTAGAGCAGAAATTAATTGAGGCTAGAAAAAGCATTTTTAACAAGTCAATGAAACTAAGAGCTGGATTTTTGAAAAAATTAGAAAGTTAACAAACTTTTAGCTAGAACAAGAATAAAAGGAAAGACTCAAATAAATAAAATCAGAAAATAAAAGAGGAGACATTACAACTCTTGCCACAGAAATAAAAAGAATCCTAAGAGACTATCATTAACAATTATACATCAACAAATTGAATAACCTAGAAGAAATGGTAAATTTCCAGAAACAACCTACCAATACTGAATCATGAAGAACAGAAAATCTGAACAGAACTATAACTACTAAGGAAATCGAATCAGTAATCAAAAATCTCCCAACCAAAAAACACTCAGGACCAGATGGCTTCACTGGTGAATTCCACCAAACATTTAAAGAATTAAAGAAAATCCTTCTCAAACTCTTTCAAAGGTATTGAAGAGGAGGGAACACTTCCAAACTCCCGCTAAGAGGCCAGCAATACCCACATACCAAAGCCAAAGCCAATGTAAAAAAATTAAACTTTATGTTAATATCCCTGATGAACTCAGATGCAAAAATCCACAAAAAAAACCAGAAAACTGAACCAAATCATATAGTAAAAGGATGACACATCATTACTAAATAGGATTTATCCTTGGGATTGAGGAAGAAGACCTAAGCATCTAAGACTACCTCCCCCTTGACTTCCACATTACATTTCTATAGGAGAAGTAAAGGCTGGCAGAACTGGTACCACCTTAATCACCCTCCTATAGATCCCAGGCATGGTATGGAAATGTCTTTTTGGAAGGCATTGTTTTTACCTAAACAAGATCAAACCCCCACCTAAGTCACATACCCCATGCCTACTCCATGGACCAAGACCCTTTCACATGTCATTTCTAAAGCTGTAAACCCAAGACCCTTTCACGTGTAATTTCTAGAGTTGTAAGCCTATATAAGGACAGGGTCTTTCTTTCTTAGACGAGCTTGGTTCTTAGGCAGCTATGCTGCCTTGCTCCTGGCTGAATAAACCACCCCTTCCTTTCCAGTTTGGTGTCCGAGAGGTTTGTTTCTTGTGCCCATTCCTGCTTTATTATGAAAGGCTGGTTCAACACATAAAAATTAATTAATATACAACACCAACAGAATGAAGGATAAAAATCACCTGGTCATCTCAACAGATACAGAAAAAGCAACTGACAAAATACAACACCCTTTTATGATAAAAAAACTTCTAACAACTAATCATGGAAAGATATTACTGAAGGAGTTAAAGAAAGAAGAAAGAAACATGAAATGTGGCTGGCAGCTAAATACATGTTTACTTTAGACAAAACCCAAGAGGTGCTCCTGGCCGATTTTGGTTAGGAGCCCTTTCTCTTACAGACTAAGAGTATATACTGGTCTTAGGATGAGGGGGCTTATCAGAAGCTTGGAATGTTTATATGTGTGGAGAACTTTATGGTGGGGCTGGAATCTCTCCGGGAGAAGGGGAAGTTATATTGGGGCAGACATCTTTTTGGCCTGGAGAGGGGTTATCTTGGGGCTAGTGTGTCTCTGGTTGGGGATGAGTTTGGATGTTTCCGGTTGGAGATGTTATTTGTGGTTTATGGTCATGCTGACCTTAGCCATTAGGCTGATGCCCTTTGGATTTGGGTGGTTTTTTATTAAGGTAAACTTTAGAATGAGGGGCTTGTCCAAGATGGTGATGCTCCTGCTCTGTCAATCACCTTAACATAATAAGGGTCATATATGAAAAGCCCACAACCAACATCAGGCTCAAGAGTAAAAACCTGAAAGCTTTTCTTTAAAGACAAGGAATAAGGCATGGATGCCCACTCTCATCACTTCCATTCAACATAATACTAGAAGCCACAGTCAGCAATTAGGCAAGGAAGAAAAACAAAAACAAAAACAAAAACAAAAGGCAGCCAAATTGGAAAGAAACAAGTAAAATTATCTCTGTTTGCAGATGACATCATCATATATGTGAAAAATCCTAAATACTTCATGAAAAAAACCTGTTAGAGCCAATGAGCAAATTTAGTAAAGTTGTAGGATTAAAAAAAATCAACATAAAAAAACCTATTGCATTTCTATACATTAAAAACAGATTATCCAAGAGAAATTCAAAAAGCAATACTATTTACAACAGCATCAACAAGAAAAACAGAGGATAAACTTAACTAAAAGGGAAAATACATGTATAGTAAAAACTGCAAAATACTAATGAAAGAAATTACAGAAGACAAAAATAAATGTAAAGGCATCCCCTCATGAATTGGAAGATGTAATATTGTTAAAATGTCAGTGCTATCCAAAGTGATGACCAGATTCAAGACAGAAAACTCCACATCTTCATCTGTCTGGAAGCTTCCCTAAATCAGCTGTTTTGGGTCTTTATGGAATCATAATTGCCCATTGCTGATCAACTTAACCTTGAGCCCCTCTCCCCTCCAGAGAGGTGGAAGAGGGGCTGAATATTCCAACCCTCTAATCACA